AAACCAAAGTGAGTTTTGGAAGGGATGCTTTTCATTACTGTGTAATAAAGATTTGGCCCCTAGTTACTGCATTGGTGATGGATGGATGTATATTTTAATGCTAATACTTTTGTAATTTTTAAAAAAAACTTGTAACAGTATTGTTATGCCCTGGTATCGCTACTTTATATAAAGAATCAAATAAAGACTTTAGTTTTCCTTGTTAGCATTCACTGCTGTTGACTCTCGAGTTTGGGCCACTGTTACAAACTCAGTCTGGTGCCTGCTTACTTCAAGAGCTTTAAGATATTGGACTGCTGCTTTGTATAGTGGTACTTCCTTCAAAAATTGACAAGGCCAGCAGCTTTTAGAAATCTGTATTTAAATGTAATATTCACCATCAATCTGCATAGAACAGTGCTGCATATTACTTACTGTACTCTTGGGTTACTGCATTGGTGATGGATGGATGGATATTTTAATGCTAATATTTTGTACTTTTTAAAAAACTTGTAACGGTATTGTTATGCCCTGGTATCGCTACTTTATATAAAGAATCAAATAAAGACTTTAGTTTTCCTTGTTAGCATTCACTGCTGTTGACTCTCGAGTTTGGGCCACTGTTACAAACTCAGTCTGGTGCCTGCTTACTTCAAGAGCTTTAAGATATTGGACTGCTGCTTTGTATAGTGGTACTTCCTTCAAAAATTGACAAGGCCAGCAGCTTTTAGAAATCTGTATTTAAATGTAATATTCACCATCAATCTGCATAGAACAGTGCTGCATATTACTTACTGTACTCTTGTTCCTTTTAAGGTGTTTGAGTAAGGGTATGAATGCCATCGTGGAGATCCAGACCCAGAGGCCAGTGTCATTAGAGCTGTACAAAGACTACAAGGAGCTGGGCCGCTTCATGCTGCGATATGTAGGCTCCACCATTGCTGCAGGGGTTGTCACCGAGGTAAAGTCCATCTAACCTTAGGACAAAGTCAAAACAACATATAGATTATGTTATTGCATAAAAATGGTCGGTTTTAACCTTCTGTCTTGTTCATACCGTTCTTAGTATTAGGCCCTTAAGAAATAATTAATAGTGAGATTGGTAGGCAATAATTGTCTTTTGAGGTGATGTTATCTGTATCTCTGTTTCCTTTTCTTTAATTAATGAAGTGTCCCTAGTCATCTTTCTTTTTGGTTTTCCTCTCTGCAGATCAAAGAATGAATGTCACGCAGAGCTGGTCAGACTTTGCACTGGAGACTGCATGCAGCCAGAGACAAAGTGCAATTCCTCAAAGAGATGTCACTCATGGACTGAGAACATCGCATTCATCCATCCATCTTTCCATCCAGCACAGCTGCCACTACACCTGACTGCTCTGATCAGTACTAACTAGACAGATACAGCCATGAACTGAGCTCACAGTGCATCCAGCAGCTCTGACACCCTGATATGGTGACGTCGAGCACCCAGCTAGCCCCACTTCACATTTCTCCCTTACTTTCTTTAAAAGTTAATGTGAGCATTCAGCTTCCAGTTTACATAACAACCATTTTCCATAATACGGCGCTCCCAATCAAAACTGTTGACCTGAAGTGACTAATTTTGAACTCACAAATGAATGTTGTGTTATGTGGGATTTGAAGGCAAATGTTTATTATTTTTACCATAAATATGTTTCTATCTCAAATTACATAGCTAAGAGGACAAGGTCTACAAAGACATTTAAATGTTTACTCTAACCACGCTAGAGTAGCCTGTGAACAAATAAGGGAAACTAAAATTTCCACTTCCATTTGGAGAGCAAGTTCTTATTTATGTTAACAAAATACACATTACTTGAAATGCTTCTAAAAAACTTTTCAGTAAGGCAGCAAAATGCTTTTTGAAGGGCTGACTTTTCTTCTAACAAAGTAAGACCGGGCTGAATAGAGCACGGAGTTCACAGGAACTGTATCTCTGTTTCTCCATGTGTTGAACCGGGTGTGTTGGTGACGATGGTGTGAAGAAAGATGAACATGATATCAGTAATCTGTGGTTTGACTTTTGATTTCATCAACATGACTTGTCTCTTTCTGTCAAAAAATCCTTTTTAGGAAAATGCGTTTTCCTTTTTTGTTTTCCTTTTACCTCACTTGTAAGATATGTATGTAAAAGTGCATCAAGTGGGAAGTGAAAATGTAGAAGTAATCATTTCCAGTCAGGTTTGACAGTGACACAGCTTGTTCCCGCTGGAGTGGAAAGCACCACAGAAGACACCTTTCGCCACCACTCTAAGGGAGCGCGTAATGAGGAGACTTAGCAAAACTGTTTCAGGCTGTAGAGTCTGAGGTGATACCTATATGTGTTACATAGTTGCTCATCACTTCCAGTGTTACAAACCTCTTAGTAGAGTAAGTGTTGAGGGAGTGAAAAGACAAGGAAGGTTTTCAGTGAAGGTTGTGTGAGGAAGTCAGAAAAACATCAGAAATTAATTAACAATACAATGAAATAACCCCAAGGCAGTTGCAGCTAAAAACCATCATCAATTATTTCACTCCTGTCTTTTACTGTACATCCTGTGTGCAAACGCACTGCAGCTCCCAGAAAGTAAAATGTGATGCATCAGGAGAAAAGGAAGGCACAGAAATGAAAAGACCAAAGTAGAAAATGGAGGGCAAAAACATCTCGGATCCAGATCATAGTGACGGTGATTGTGATCGGGTTTCCAGAGCGGGCTCTTTTTTTAAATTTTGGTGGGAGTCAGCTACAAAATGTGACTCAAGTTTTGTCGGAGTATGTCTGATTAACAGTATCCAAGCTTTATTAGCTCCTCTGTGCAAACACAGGTATGCATGTAGGCATGCAAAATGGCTAAAGGTAGCTCGGTGGTATAGACAAACTTGGTTAAAGTGATATTTATATTTAAAGCTATCTCATGAACTGAAATTTATAATTGTGTTACAGTCCTGGGAGTTTTATTTTTCTGCAACTCACGATTAGGCAGTTTCTGTGACTGATGCATCAGCAGTGCTCTCAAGTGACTATCTGATGTCTCTGTGCCTTGTTTTGTGTGTGGTTCTGTTATCTCTGATATACAGTACCAGTCAAAAGCTTGGACTCACTTTCACATTGAATTGAATGGTTAAATGTGTACAGACCTTTGACTGGTAGTGTAGTTGCTGATAAACAGTCATCTCTTATTATGACTCACTTATACAGCTGCCATAGTTGCTGCCTGACTTGCTGTGGCATCAGCCATAAACTCTGCAAAATTGTTGTGGCAGAGTCAAAGGTCTCAAGAAATGACATTCTAGATTGTATTGTGAAAAATCAAGAACAGGGCTGAGTCTAGTTCATGAACACTGACCTTAGAATACATAATGGCTTATTTACTTGCTGTGGACAGCAATTGTTTTGATGTTGTTGCTCTCTGCTGTACTATTCACGGTGTCCTGAAACATCTCTGTCCAAAACCTCTTGAAGAGAAACTTGCAGCACATGGCTGCCATGATGTGACATTGTTCAGTTTATATACGAGGTCACCACTCACCAGGCCCTCTTGCACAGATGAACACTTGCATTCATATGTTACATACTCGAGACGTTATTCACAACACATAGAATCAGTGTCGAAGTGATTTAAAGGATTCTGTCACAAATGTGTAAAACCCATGTGATTATACAAAGCATGTAAATCTATGTCCCCTTGGAATACAGTTAAAGCTTGAAGGTTTATATTTCTACAGGCCTCAGAGGGAACCCAAAGGCACATAAAAGAGGACAACAGTGGTAACTGTTGGTAATGCCAAGGGTCTGGTGGTACATATCGTAATGATGAATCACTTTCTGTGCAATTTGGTGAGTAATGCTGTGGTTTTATAGTCAGAACTTGTTTCTCTGAATCTACTTTCACAGTCACACGGCCGCCACGCTCTTGCACACCACAAGCACTTAAGAAGCAAAAATCTTTCAGTATGTGTCACGGAGAGTTCTAACTTTTTCGCGTTGCATTAAATTGAATTCTTGCCTGGTGCACGTTAAATGAAATGTGAGAGGTACAATAGCTCGGTGATTTATATTTCAGAGGAGTGGCCATGGAAATGGTTCATTTTTGGTTAAAATAACTGCAAAGCATGTCTGTGTGTCATTCATCCAGGATTTCTGAACTTCTTTTCATTGAGCCTTTATCAGAAGCTGGCTATGATAACTAACCAGTGCTCTGTTCTGGGCCAGTAATCAGCTCCTGCATTCCAGTAGTGCCTTTACTGTGAAATGTGACCTGCACAGTGGGAGGGACAGTGCAAGCCCAGGTTAATTCTTCTTTGCTGCAGGCGTCCTGTACAAGAGTGTGAGACGTTGCCTGCACCGGTCACTGTCATTTGATTTTCAGTTTGTTGTGTTTGTTTAGTAGCATTAGTTGACAGCCATGTCAAAAACCTCGGAGCAGCAGTCAGTCCTGTTTCTGGAGAATTACATCGGCGGAAAGTTCGTCCCCTGTCAGAGTCACATCGACTCCTATGATCCGTCCACAGGAGAGGTCTACTGCAAAGTACCTGACAGCGGCACTGAGGAGGTGGGACATCCTCACCACATAGACACTATTTTGATTAAACCACGCTTTGCATTCTGTACTATTTTTGCAGTAACCTCTAAAATGTGAATGCAAGTGAATAGCCTCTAATTTAGAGGCCAGATTACATCTGGCCTCAAAAGCCCTGCGATATATATCTAATGCCAATTTTAAATGCTGAGATTTTCTACATGTTTTCACAGATGTGTACCCTTGTAAGTGATTTCAACATTTCCATTAGTGTTGAGCAATATTTTTAGAGTTAGATGAGGTCAAGCGGTGGCTGCAGCTCTTTACTGAGTCAATAATCAATCATTAAACACTTGCACCAATAAACCTTAGTGGAAAGATTATAACGAGTTACCATGTAATTCTCACTGTTAATGAAGTATCTTGTGATATCAGAATTTTCACTCACACATTTATCCGGTATATATACGATGTAGTTATCACCCGTGAGTACAGATTATGCCCTCATGAAATGTTCTAAGAGGTGAAAGTTGCAGTATATCACAGGCACAAAAAATATATTGTGCAACAGGAACATGGTTTCTTTCTTCTGCTGTTAATCATTTTGTTGACCCCTAAACCCCCTATGAACTTTAAACATATGAAAGGCACTCGAAACAGTGTATTAATCTCTCAGTGCCTGTCTGTCTGCAGGTGGAGGCAGCGGTGGCAGCAGCAAAAGAAGCCTTCCCCAACTGGTCTGCCCGCAGCCCAGAGCAGAGAGCGCAGGTCCTCAACAAGCTGGCTGACTTGATTGAAGCCCACCTGGAGGAGTTTGCCCAAGCTGAGTCTAAAGACCAAGGTGTCTTTTACTGTTTGAACACATGTATCAACCCAAAAGTCAGTCACATAATTGGTTAGGTAGTCAGCAGCAATGGGTCAAAATTGGTTTTTCACTAAGACACATTTCCTTGTGTATGGCTCTTTGTAAAAGCTTATGACATGCCACGGTACCAGTGAATCAGTCAGAGTGAACAATTTACAGAAGATTCTTCTATTTTTAGGCTTGCACCAAGAGTGGGAACAAAAAATTGAGGGTTTGTTTTGGGTTTGGTGCCAGAAGATACAGTATGTGGTGATGAATGGTTTATCTGAGACCAGCAAAGGTGTATTTTAACAGAATGCTTATGTCCTCAATAGACAGAATACAGAACATGGCATAGCAAATGCTTTGTTGTATTGTGTAAGCGCTATATTATTCTCTGCTGCTCATCACTTCTACATATTTGGTGTATCTTACAGGTAAAACACTAACATTTGCACGAACTGTGGACATTCCCCGCTCAGCATACAACTTCCGCTTCTTTGCATCATCAATACTCCACTACACCACCGAATGCAGCCAGATGGACCACATGGGCTGCCTCAACTACACCATCCGCTGTCCTGTGGGAGTGGGTGAGTGGGTAAATGCTTTCATTAAAGCCTGTAAATGTTTGTATTGTTAAATTATGTTGTTGTGTGTGTCTGTGTCTAGCTGGTCTGATCAGCCCCTGGAATCTCCCCCTGTACCTGTTAACCTGGAAGATCGCACCTGCAATTGCTACTGGCAACACAGTGGTGGCCAAACCCAGTGAGATGACCTCTGTGACAGCCTGGATGTTCAGCAAGTTGTTGCAGCAGGCTGGTAGGACTACAGCACCCACACAGTGCAGTAACATTTACACAACACTGGGTGGAGCAGAGTGGATTGATTTGGGCTTTAATGCTAGTGCTACCTTAGGTTACATACTGTAGCTTTTAGGAAGTAAAATCTGTGATGGAATTATGAATTTCCTGTATTTTTAGGTGTTCCTCCTGGAGTAGTCAACATTGTATTTGGCACTGGCCCGAGAGCAGGCGACGCCCTTGTTGGCCATCCTGATGTCCCTTTGATCTCCTTCACTGGGTCCACAGTAACTGCCCAGCGCATCACAGAGCGGAGCGCCCCCTACTGCAAAAAGCTCTCTCTGGAGCTAGGAGGCAAAAACCCTGCCATTATTTTTGCTGATGCAGACCTGGCCAAGTGCATTGAGACCACAGTTCGCTCCAGCTTCTATAATCAGGTGAGAAAAGAGTGTTGCTGACTGTTTTAAAACTCCTGCAAAACATAATTAAGCTTTGTGTTTTTGTAATCTTTTAAGCATTTAGTAAAGTTGTTTTTGGAAGTGCTGTATAAAAGATTAATTACATTTTTCTTATTATTAATGTCAGTGAAGTTGCAGCTGTCGTTGAAGTCTTAAGAACCAAGTTGTGATGAGACCGCAGTGACATAATTTGTCCACATGGGGGAGATGCTAGCCCATATTTTGTCATGAGATGCATGGAGACATCAGTTTCTATCTAAATCTTATCATATCCTTTCTGCCTTTAGGGAGAAGTTTGTTTGTGCACCAGTAGGATCTATGTAGAGAGGAGTATCTACTCTGAGTTCCTGGAAAGGTTTGTGGCTGCAGCAAAGAAGTGGAAGACTGGTGTGCCTTCTGACCCCAGCAGCAACAACGGAGCTCTGATCAGCAAAGAGCACCTGAAAAAGGTAGTTATATGAACTGTTTTAAAGGCCATGAAAGAACAGTTTAGGATTTGTGAAGATGTGTTTTCAACAACGTTTAAGTTGAGATCCCTCTTTAACTTCTTCCTTAGGTTCGAAACTTTGTCGCACTTGCCAGGTCTGAAGGTGGTGCCGTCCACTGTGGTGAAGGGGTTGACCAGCTGGACCTGCCTGAGCAAAACAAGTCCGGTTACTATATGCCGGCCACTGTCATCTCAGGCATATCCGACAGCTCCCGCATCATGCAGGAGGAGATCTTTGGTCCTGTCACCTGTGTCAGCCCCTTTGACACAGAGGATGAAGCCGTTTCCAAGGGCAATGGCGTGCGTTATGGTCTGGCAGCCACAGTGTGGTCCCGTGATGTGGGGAAGGTTCACCGTGTAGCTAGGCAGCTGCAGGCAGGTTTAGTTTGGACCAACTGCTGGCTGGTGAGAGACCTCAACCTGCCCTTTGGAGGGATGAAGAACTCTGGTGTGGGGAGGGAGGGAGGGAAGGATTCCTACCACTTCTTCACCGAGGTGAAAAGTATCACAATCAAACACTAAAGCAAGAAAGGAAGATGGCAGCAGTGGCAAGTCTTGATAGGAGAAACATTTTTTGTTGGAAGCAGGTAAAGAGATGCAGGGAAAGTTTTGTAGTTAATCTTGACATTCATCAATCAGCAGCTCTTAAGAATTTCCAATTTCACCTCTCACTGTCTCAGATTAGTGAAGCCAGTAATTCAGTCACATATATAGAATACAAAAGCTAGAGAAAATAAAAAAAATGTCTAGTGACGAGGAGGTATATCACCAAGAATATTCTGCTGAATATTTTGTACAACAGTCCTCCATTTAACCAGTGCAAATACATGGAGTAGATTAGAAAAGTACAGACAGACGAGGCAAAACTGGATAAGGAAAGAGCTGATTTACTGCCCACTTCAAGAAAAGTCAAGAATACAATTAATGAGTTTAAGAACAATTTAACTGACTGTTCTTTAAAGGTTTCAACTGTAGGTTCATGTCCTGCATGGCAGTTCTGGAAGTAACATTCTAATGTTGAAAAAAGTACAAACACTGATAATGCTTAGAGAAAAGTGAAAAAGTTTCTTGAGCATTAGGTAAACACAATAAGGAGTGTTAAATCTGTGCTTCAAACTAACCAAACTCAAGATCTATGTTGGTATTTTTTCATCATAACCAAACATTCCAACTGGAAACTGAAAGTTGTGTAACACATGAATGTGTTTCCCCAAATTAAAACACTTTATAAATCCCACGTGTAGATCAATGTGCTTATCTTTACTTGACAACATCTGTGTCACAATGTCAGATTGAGATTGTGAATGTCAGATTTGGCACTTCATAAAAGAAAACGAATCTGCTTACTGATTCACTTTCATGGTTTCATTTATGGCTCTTTACCTGGTCAGTCTGTTCTCTGATATGTTTTACACAATTGCAAACCTTAAATATGTATTCAGAAGTAAATCTCAAGTTGGTTTTGTGTCTGACCTGCTGATGTAAGGAAGGTGAATAAACTGTAATTGGGCAACATGTCTGGCGAGACAAATATCAGCAGGCTGAGTGAAATGGATGAATAGTTGATGAACAGCTGATAGTAGGCAGAGGCTGATGGTAATGTAATAAAATTTTGACCTGATGATGAGCTGGATAAAATCTTAGATGACTAGCAAAGCTATTAAAACGTACGAGTCTGTGCCAAATTTCATGGCAATGGATCAATAATTGTTGAGACATTTCACTTTGAACTACAAATTTCAAATTGTGGAAACACTGTGAAATGTCAGGTCCACCAATAATAATCAGGGACCTTGTTTGGGATGCTCATCTGTCTAGATTAAATCCATCCAGTGGATATTTCACTGGGTGACTGAAATGGTTTGCACACTCAGGGGGATCACCAAAATCAGTAGACCTCATCCTCATCCATGAATGCATCTACCTGATGGCAGATTATCTAGTAGTTGCTGAGATGTAGTATTTCAGCCTGGAACAAAGCAGTAGTTTGACTGAAGGATGACCTTCCGTTGACATTCATACAGAGCTACACGTATACAGCCAAGGTTTGTTGATAAAATATGATGCACTTCATTTCCTTACGTAGTAGGAAGGTCATGTGTCCTGGTTTCATGCAATATGAGATGAGACTGATGGGGATGGAGCAGCAAGCATACGTGTGTGTTTGTGGCACTGTGCTTGGTTTGGACCAGTCAGGAAGTGAGGGTACAATGGGGAAGCGCTCTGTCTTTTAAGTATGTGTGTGTGTACACTCATATCCCCTTAGCAGTATGTGACATTCACCACAGAGCCAGTGTGAGTGCCCCACCCTCTACGTTTAGGCTAGAGAATGGGCATTGTGCTTGGTTGCGCGCACACACACGTGCAATTCTACACCTTCCTCGAGCATAGCGTGTGATGAAATGGATACCACCCAAAAGTCAGTTTACGAGGTCTGAAGCGATGTATTTAGTTGCACCAGGACATACACACACCCACCCACCAAGTCATAATCTTAGAAACAAAACGGGAACAGTGCAAGTCAGCATTTATTTGTTTTTCCTCCATTTCCACCCTTTTTCTTGATTTATCTTTCATCTCTCCCTCTTGTGGATGTTTAATTGAGAAGGAAAAGGCCCAGTGAAGCAGGTCTCGCCCAGTTGTACGTGACTCAGAGGACACTGTCGGTGGCTTCGGCCAAACCAAGCATTTAAATTTCACCTCACTTATTGGGCACTGAGCGAAATAAAATGGTGCCTCCTTCCATTTGGCATCCACAAGGAAACTGGAATATAATATAATATATAGATCTGTTTTCATGTTGGCTGCAGGGATGAGATGGGCCTCCTGCAGAGGGCCTTCTCAGCAGCTGATATCTCTGTCCTAGATTCAACTGAAAGCTTTGTTTACATTTGTTGTTTGACAGTTATTGATTGACTTGCTCTGACATCTGTAATCAGAGTACAAATCGATGGCTGTGGGCTGGTCCTTCGAGTCATTTCAAAAAGCCATATCCTGAGCAGCGATTGGTTTCCAGTCTACCTCTTTTACCCCTCCTGTTGAAAGCCATGTGTTGCACACAGTAAGCTTGCTCTTTCTCACCGTTGGCCCCTCGTTCTCCCACCACATTCCTGCCTCTCAAGGCCTTCTGTCACATTTAGGTGCAGGGAATTTTCCACAGTGGGCCGTCTAAGGTTTGTAGTACAGTAGATAAGCCCTGAGGTGAAGCTGAGTCCTGAGAAAACAGTGCAGTTCAACCAGGTTAAGCAAACACAGCCAGGAAAGCCCATATGCACAGTATTGTGGAGGGACCGTTGTTTGGCTACAGAAGGTCAAATGCTTGCAGCTGTGTGTCAGTCTCTGTTAGGTGCAGTATAGTATATTCACTGGTCTGAGAAGGCAAAATGACAGCTAAAGCTGGAGGCTCAGGGTAGCTGACTAAATATGTACAGTACAGTACTCTGGAACTGGAAACCTGCGCTCATAAATCGTTTCAAATCTTGTCACTGCATTGCGCTCTGACTTGCTTTGGCTGTGAGCCATCACCTACTGAAACCTACCCACAGTAAATGTGACCTCAGCATTCTTCGTTACCTGGTCAGGTTTCCTAATCAAACCTTAAATACTCTTGATGCAATGTGCTACTGAAAACAGGTTAAAAAAAAAGGAAATCTTTTGTCTTAAGGTTTATGTAGTAAATTGTGTTACCAAATAATAATGTACAAAATGGTGCTATCACATTTGGGGCTTCAAAGATCTCGTTAGAAACTTATGCTATTAGGTTTGAAATACGTGTCATTTATTAGTGCTGTCTTTAATTTCAGTGATTACCTTGCCTAACAAACATGTAACTAACATGCTTAATTTTGTCTTTAATTGCTTTAGGCCACTTGGGGACAGGAAAAAAAACCCCCTGCAGGTTAGAGCTACAGTATGTAGCTTTTCAAAAATATTTTTGTTGTAGAAATCTGCTCCAAAACTTGTCTTAATGTGGAGAGGTGCTGTTGAAGCCTTCTGTCACCCAGACTCATTAAACTGCACTGGAGGCAGTGCAGAGACATTAGCTTCTAAAAGGTTTTGAGCGGGACTGACCTCTCTAACCAATCAGAGATTTTCAGTTATTTCTGTTTGATCATTTTCCTTAATGCATTCTTTTGACCTGTTATCATATACAACTATTGATTTAGAATACTGGAAACAGCCACACTGAACAGTAGCATTCATTACATGCTATTTTATACTTGCTTCAAAATTTTCTTTTTGCTGTGCTTTGAAGTTATCACTTAATTTTGTTAATGATACCTTTTGTCATGCTAATTTAACATTTAAATTAACAGGCTAAATTGATGCTATGCAACGTCTCCACACTGTATTTGCCAGAACATGGTGACCTAGATCTATTCTTTTTGACCAACTGAATGAAGGATGTCATTTATCTTGATTATACATCAATTACAGCATTATACTTTCACACCATCTGGCCTGTGTATTTGTTCACCAACAGTGTAACAGAGAACCAAAGCCCCAGATTTAACTCTGGGCAGACACCCGCAGTGCACTTCCAACTTGGGATACTGTGGATTCCTTCCTTACCAAATGAAATTAGACCACTTAGGATTATTTTTCAGCATTCAGTAACTACACTGGCAGGTTTGACAGTGCATGTACTGTATGCCAAAGACTCATGGGAAGCCAGTTGAACAGTTTTTTGAAGTAATGTATACAGTAGGACTTCAGCTGTTTTTACTTCCAAGCAATTACATCTACAAACAATTAAACCGTCCTCTCTTTTGCAGTTGATTCTCCTAGGTCGAGCATATTCTGCACCAAATTTGTAGACAAACGGCTTGAAGAACAAAAGGATTATGATGATATTCAGTGTAAAAATGGAATGCAGTGCAAATGTGTGTCAAGAAGCCCTGTGTCATGAGAACACTGTGCAAAGTTTGCACTGCTCCAGTGTCACAGGTTGCAGATATGGTATGACATTTGAAATGTTGTCAATCCATCCTTGTTTTCTGGATGGCAGAGTGACATAAAGATAAGAAAATATAATACTGTGTTAAGTAAAGTAGGAATTGCTGGGATTTTATCTGAAAATCCATGTTAAATGTGAGAGAAATAGTTATGGCACATCTGCAAGAGGGAAATTGGCATGAAGGAGCTGAAAGGAATATAAGTGATCCAGGCCTCTGTGAAGATAGAAATGTGCTACCTATTGTCTAAATATGGCCGAGAAATGGAAGCACACTTTCAGGTATAGCGTCTTAAATCCTCAGGCAGCAATGATTCATGCTCAAATAAATAGTTCCTGTGTCTTAAAGTGGTTCCCTGTTCATTATCTTTCTAGTAATTTGCCTTTGGGAATCCTCCACACCCATTTAGGAAGATCTAGTTAGTAGCTCATTCTCTCAATACGACAATACAGGAAGCTCAGAAGAGATTAGACTGTGCTGTGGTGCAGCTGGGATCCTAGTGCCTTCTCAGAGCTTAAAAATGTTTGTGCTCATGCTATTGTATCCACTGTTTGGTGCCTGAAAAAAACTAATGAGCTACTGATGAAGGGCAACCTTGTCATGGTCTGTGTACTGAGCACTGAGTCCATCTGCTGAACAGTTACCATAGGAGAAGTCTGTGTAACTAATGCAGACAAGAACACAAAAGTAGAGTAAACAGTATAGAAGAACCAGGTCCATCTGGAAATATCACATGTTTAACGTGAGGTCTTTTTTATGTAAATCTCATTGTGAAATACTAGAAGAGCTCAGAAAATAAGGGACACAAAATTTCATAAGATGCTGTGATTATTCAATCACCAACTAATTGTGCAGTGGATGTGAATACAGTACAGTCACTTTATACGAAAAAACCAAAACATTTCTTGAGCTTCTCAGCTGCATCTCATTGAATATAGGAATTGAAATTTTCCACAAAATATTCTTTAAAAATATACCCCGTGGCATTAGTGTCTCAGCGGAAAAAGGCTCATGAAACTTGATTTCATTTTTCCACACAGAAGGGGAAGGATGACACCACATCCTCTCTTGTATGTCAAAATAACGAAGCCAACATGTCATGGCGGAACAGTGTGTTGGGCCTGTCGCCTCCAGCATGGCTGCCTCACAAAGGCCATCAGAGCTCCGCTGAGATCGCACAGAGCCAAGGTCTGTCTGTCAGCGCGTGGGTGGATGAGTGTACACGTAAAGTGGGAGAGAAAGAGGGAGACTTG